CCTCCCACCGTCAAAACATACCTAACCAGCATATGCTGTTTTTTTCAACAGGGCTGTTTGCCATATTTAAGGTTATCTATAGGCCCCGTCCACACGGTTTAGCTGTATACGCATACATTTTGTATCGTATAGGCGTTTCGTCTACACGGATCCGGTGTTTTGGGAGAGTGAAACCAATATTTTTTGAAACCGGGTCCCAGAGTGGATAAATCTGAAAACGCCACCCTTGCGTTTTCGTGTGTACAGCGAATCCGTATATTTTCTGAAACGATGACGTCATCAGCCCACGTCTCGCCCCTAGTCAGACACCGCTACATCACGTAACAGCAACAAAAACATGAACAAACACTGAACGATTGTCTTTTTATTAACTAACATTAACACAGATTAATAAATGTATTGTTCCATGTTCGTTTGTATACCACGCGCAAGGTTTATGCGCATAGTCCAAGTCTTCTTCTCCGTTTTTAGTGTATCTCTGTGGCAGAATTACAGCGCCACATGTTGGTCTGGCATGTATACTACATCGTTTTGTGTCGGTTTTGTGGTTTCGTGTGGACGCAGATAGTTCTTGAGACGAGGGAAAAAAAAGATCGGATAGGGAAAGCTCTGGCTTTGTGTGGACGTAGCCTATGTATTTTACAGAACCCAACTTTTCTATAAATTTACTGTTCAAGTGTTCATATGCTCAGTGTCCTAGAGCAACTGTTAATAAATTCCCCATATGTGCATTTGCACAGGTTGTTTGGCGTTATCATGGGAAAACACCAGAAACTCTTGCCCCCAATACAAAAATCTATGACTGGATCCCACAGAATGATTTGCTTGGTAAGGAAAGTGTTGTCATCTGTACTCATTATACATCAAGAACAATAATTGATGTCATATAGATACAGACTTTATTTTATCTGATAGGTCATCCAAAAACAAAGGCCTTCATTACCCATGGTGGGACAAACGGACTGTATGAGGCTATTTATCATGGTGTCCCAATGGTGGGCTTGCCACTGTTTGCTGACCAACCTGATAACCTAATGCACATGAAAACCAAAGGAGCTGCTGTTGTTCTTGACATCAACAAAATGCAGTCCGAAGACCTGGTGGATGCTCTCAAGACTGTCTTAAATAATCCATCGTGAGTTGTCTAAAGGACTTTTCCAGTTAGTTTCCTTAATTTAGAAATAACGCTAAAATGTTTTTAGTCAGAAGGCTAGAAACAGAGTGGAAAATTGTTGTGTATTACTACATTTATATTGAATTTTGAACAAAAACTTCACTACAGTTATAAATTTAACCTCAAAAAAATTATTTCCATTTCTTCTCTAATCAGATACAAGGAGAGCATCATGAGACTATCCCGAATCCATCATGATCAGCCAATGAAGCCTCTGGACCAGGCAGTTTACTGGATTGAATTTGTAATGCGGAATAAAGGAGCTAAACATCTCAGAGTTCAGGCACATGATCTGAGCTGGTATCAGTACCACTGCCTGGATGTAGTGGCCTTCTTACTCTCAATTGTTGCACTGATCACATTCCTCGTTATTAAAACATGCTGTTTCCTTTTCCGTAAATGTTTCAGAAAGACTCGTCCTGATGCCAAAGCAAAAAAGAGTAAAAAAGAGTGAATGTAAAGTAGGTTCCCATATAGAAGCATTGCCTTCAATTGACTGCGGTACGTGTGTCATCATCACATGTGTATGATGGCCAGTGTACATTCCAAACCGTATGTTCTTATTGAAATGAATACATGTGAATGTTAATAATTATGTACAATAATTACATAAGATGACAGAAATAAAAACATTTCTTTAATATAATGCATATTACTGATTGCTGAGATGTAAACTAAATGTAGGCTCGAACTGAGGGGTTCATTTACAGTCAGTGATGACAATGGTTTTAAATCAGTGAGGGAACTCTAGTTGGAGAGTCAGGGGCCATTTATTTACTTCATAATTTTCAGGCCCTTTCTGGTGATCAGAGTCTATTTAAATAGAAATAACTAAAATCTATAGCAAAATTAGATTTTTTTATGACTCTGCCCAGGATATAACTATGGTGTATTGGAAAAAATATATTGGGTTCCAAGTTCAGCAGGTCAAAGTCAGTTAGATTTTAGATTAAATGTATGCCTGTCCTGATGAAACTCTTCTCTTTTTGCCCTGACATTTTTCATACTTTTTGACTATAAACACAAAGAAGGGTGTCATCCATCCTTCCATCCATTTTCTGTGTTCTTTGTAAGAAGGATAAATGAGTGCAATAAAAACATGTAGTAAAAGCCCATGGTTATAAGTTACAAAAAAAAAACTCCAGCATATTCATTCACCATGACACTACTGGAACTTCAAACAGGACTGGGTTCTATGGTCAGAAAAAAACTAAAAAATTAGCTTTTTTTAGCAGCACTCAAGATGGGTTTGATGCACACGGGTAAAAAAAAAGTATCCCATAAATATACTGCAGCATCTTTAATGTTGTAGGTCTATTTTTCTGTCGGAGGACCTGGACATTTTGTTCATAACCAGATACATCCCTGCTGAAAAAAAAAACAGTAGAAACCATTACAGAATTTGTAATGGTTTCACTGGTTATAATGGGAATTGTATTAGATTTCATGGAAACTGTAATGGTCCCTATGGGTCTCTACCAGTACTGGTCTATTGGTATGCATGTTATGTCTAGTGGATACCATTAAGGAAAAAACAAACAATAGAAACCATCACAGAAGTTGTAATGCTTTCCACTACAAATACCATTAAAAACATTACAAACCATCAACTGTTAACCAATAAAACCAGTACATTTAATGGTTTCTAGTGTGTTTTGGGACATATTCCATTATGATTTAATGGTTTTAACAAGCCACCAATAGAAGACAATAATTTACCCACAGGGACAATTACAGTTTCCATCAAAACCAATACAATTCCCATTAAACCCATTACAAATGTTATGAGGGTTTCTGATTTAGTTGTATTTATTTATTTATATATTTATTTGGTTTTTTCACCAGGGTATGCACTGCAAACAGAGTATTTGTGTGAAATGTGTCTAGGACATCATTAAACATCCATATTCTATCCATATATATATAAACATCCATATATATAAACTTTTTTTGCTTACTCTTTGGGGAAGTCGTGGCCTAATGGTTAGAGAGTCGAACTTGTAACCCAAAGGTTGCGGGTTCAAGTCTCGTACCGGCAGGGATTGTAGGTGGGGGGAGTGAATGTACAGCGCTCTCTCCCACCTTCAATACCACGACTGAGGGGCCCTTGAGCAAGGCACCGAACCCCCAACTGCTCCCCGGGCGCCGCAGCATAAATGGCTGCCCACTGCTCCGGGTGTGTGTGTGTGTTCACTGCTGTGTGTGTGCACTTTGGATGGGATAAATGCAGAGCACTAATTCCTAGTATGGATCACCATACTTGGCCACATGTCACTTCACTTTCACTATTTTAGATTCAGATTTTTGTTCTTTATTTTCTTTACAATTATCAGTGTACAACCTGCTGTGTGTGTGCACTTTGGATGGGATAAATGCAGAGCACTAATTCCTAGTATGGATCACCATACTTGGCCACATGTCACTTCACTTTCACTTTCACTATTTTAGATTCAGATTTTTGTTCTTTATTTTCTTTACAATTATCACAGTGTACAACAAAATAGATTTAATATAGATAGATTTTTTAAAATATAGATAGATAATATAGATTTTTCATATAATAATGACTCATACACTTTTTTTGCTTACTCTTCAGTTATGTTTTATAATGTGAAGGCATTAAGCTTAGCTTTGGACTAATAAGGACTCTATTCAAGATCCAATTTAACAGGCTTACACTCTTAAAAAATATCTTCTCAGAAAAATAAATTCCATGCCTAAACATTTACAAAGAAGGCCTTCTAAATCTATCCAAAACATTTAGCTATAAATGGACAACATCCTCCCTCTCTGCCCCACAGAAATCACATCCATCGTCCACATCAGTACGAAACCTAAGAAAAAGTGTTTTAACAGGGTACACCAGATGAAGTATTTTAAAATGTACTTCTCTCACCTTATTTGTTATGCAATATTTTTTAGGCAGCAACCATGCATATTTCCACTCAATGCACTCAAATTTAGAATGCCAATATGTTTTAGAAGATATTGGGCTATAAAGTAATTATTCCACCTCCTATCAGTAGTAACTCCTTTTAATTGCAATATCAGATCTAAGACTCACATTCTCGTCGTTCACATTTCCTTTAAACAGACATTTTAAACCAGATGGAATAGCATCGAACACTATACAGTATTATTTAGGGATTATTGAAATATTAAACCTTTGAATAAATTAAACATAGGTATACAGCTGCCCATTTTCATTAAATAACTGTTTAACAAATAGCCATAATCAGGATTTTGCGATTCTGCAATCGCTGAATATATGCAAAATCAAGCAAACTCCGCAATTTTCGCAAGAGCTCACAAATGTTCGTAATTGCCTCAGATTTTCCGCAGATTTCGGGCTTAGACGCGTCCCGTGATGTAATCTCAACGCACATTCAGTCAAAGAAAGGTTTCTCAGTTCCAAAAATGGATTGAACAGCCTTGCGTTCACATCATGACCGATTTACAAGAGGACAAACTGACATTGGACAAACTAACCGAAAGCGGAACGAATCCGCGCTACTCATTTGGGCAGCGCAGACCGTTTATCTGCTCAGGCTGATCTCGATCACGAAACACCGTTATACACAGCGCTGGGAGATACAGTGAAAAAAGCAGTTGAATTTGCTGCAGAATCAATAAGATCTCTGTGAAATCTTGTGAGAAGCATTAAAATTCGGCACAGAATTCTGTTAAAGCTACAGATATCAGAACAAAGGCCACTGATGTGGAAACCAGGAAAAACATTGTTCAATAAACACAAATCACCACCATTCACCATGGATTTAAAGGGGTCATATGATGCGATTTCAAGTTTTCCTTTCTCTTTGGAGTGTTACAAGCTGATTGTGCATAGATAAGATCCCTGAAGTTGCAAAGACTAAAGTCTCAAAACCAAAGAGATATTCTTTATCAAAGTTAAGACTCTGCCACGCCCCCCTAAAATGGCTCCTTCTAACATGCCCCCACATATCTACCTCACTATGTGGAAATATTAGCATAATGCCGCCCAAATGTGCACGCAAAGAAAGAAGGCGTGGTTTCAGTAACCGCAGTTAGTGTTGAAGCAGCCATGTCA